CCATGTCCCCCCATGTCCCCATCCCTCACCACCGTCCTCCACGATGGTGGCCTGAGCTGCCTGCCCATAGAGGTCGACCACGGCGTAGACGTTTGGGGGCACGTTCCAGGCCGCAGGGCCCTGCGCGGCGCCGTTGACAAAGAAGTGCAGGGTGCCATCGTCCCGCCGCACCACCCCCACCGTGTCACCTGCCTGGGGACAACGCCGCGTCACCCTGCGCGGGACACCCCTCCCCGAGATGGCACGTCCACAAGGGCAACTCTCACCAGGAACCACCTCCCCAAGGGTCACCCTCATGAGATGTCACCTCCCCACTTGTTATTCCCATGGGATGTCACCTCCCCAAGTGCCACCTCCCCAAGGGTCACCCCTGAGAGACATGACCTCCATAACTGTCACCTCCCCAAATGTCCCCTCCCCAAGTGTCACTGCTGTGGGACATCACCTCCCCAAGTGTCACCACCCCAAGAGTCACCCTCATGAGATGTCACCTCCCTACATGTCATTCCCATGGGATGTCACCCCCTCAAGTGTCACCCCTGTGGGACATCACCTCCCCAAGTGCCACCCCTGGGTGACATTACCTCCATAAGCGTCACCGCCCCAAGTGCCACCCTCACGAGATGTCACCTCCCTACGTGTCATTCCCATGGGATGTCACCTCTCCAAGTGTCACCCTCCCAAGTGCTACCTCCCCAAGTGTCACCCTCATGACATGTCACCTCTCCAAGTGTCACCCCTATGGCACATCACCTCCCCAAGTGTCACCTCCCCATGTGTCACGGCTGTGGGACATCACCCTCCCAAGGGCCACCTTCCCAAGTGTCACCACCCCAAGTGTCACCCCTGTAGGATGTCACCTCCCCAAGTGCCACCCCTGGGAGACATTACCTCCGCAAGTGTCACCTCCCCAAGTGTCACCCTCATGAGATGTCACCTCCCCCCATGTCATTCCCATGGATGTCACCCCACCAAGTGTCACTCCTGTGGGAGGTCACTTCCCCAGGTGTCACCTCCCCAAGTGACATTCCCATGGGATGTCACCTCCCCAAGTGTCACCCCTGTGGGACATCACCTCCCCAAGTGCCACCTCCCCAAGAGTCACCCTCATGAGATGTCACCTCCCCCAAGTGTCACCCTCACCAGATGTCACCTCCCTACACGTCATTCCCATGGGACATCACCTCCCAAATGCCACCTCCCCAAGTGTCACCTTCCTAAGTGCTACCACCCAAAGTGTCACCCTCATGAGATGTCACCTCCCCAGGTGTCATTCCCACGGGATGTCACCCCCTCAAGTGTCACCCCTGTGGGATGTCACCTCCCTAAATGTCACCTCCCCCAAGTGCCACCCTCACCAGATGTCACCTCCCCACACGTCGTCCCCATGGGACGTCACCCCCTCCAACATCACCACCCTACGATGTCACCCCCCCAGCGCCCCCCACCCCCAAGAGGCGCCGCCTCCCGCAGTGTCACACGTTGTCACCCCCTGGGCTGCCACCTTGCAGGGTCCCACCTTCAGGCGGTCCAGGTTGTGGCCGTACTCATCGAGGACGGTGGTCCCGTTGTGCATCACCCCGTTGCCCGTCATCATCCACGTGCCTGGGGACAGCGGGGGGACAGCAGGGACGCTGCGGAGGCGTCGGGGACGTGGGGGACCCAGGGGGACACCAGCAGATGCTGGGACATCGGGGACCCCAGGGATACGTCGTAAGGATGTCGGGGACGTTGTGGGGACGTCACAGGGAGCTTGGGGACATCGTAAGGGCATTGGAGACCAGCGGGGACATTGTAAGGACAGGGGAGACCCAATGGGGACATCAAGGGACACTGGGGACACAAAGACCCCTTGGGGACCTCATAAGGACATGGAGACCCAATGGGGACATCATAGGGATGTTGGGGACACAGGGATCCCTTGGGGACCTTGTAAGGACAGGGGAGACCCCATGGGGACACTGTAAGGACACAACAGGGACATTGGAGACTCAAAGGGACACCAGAGGCCACTTGGGGACCCCACAGGGACACTGTGAGGACATCGGGAGACCCAACAGGGACACCATGAGGACAATGCAGCACAGTTGGGGTCTTGGGGTCTCTGTGGGGTCACTGGAGACCCCCAGGAACATCCTAAAGGGTCTGGGAGGCCCCATGGGGACATGGGGGGACAGAAGTGTCCCCACACTGGAGATCCAACGGCGACGTTATGAGGACAGGGGACACCCAATGGGGACACCATAGGGACATGGCAGACCCCATGGGGACAACATAGGGATGTTGGGGACACAGGGATCCCTTGGGGACCTTGTAAGGACATGGGAGACCCCATGGGGACACCATAGGGACACTGGGGACACAGGGATCCCTTGGGGACCTCATAAGGACATGGGAGACCCCATGGGGACACCATAGGGACACTGGGGACACAGGGATCCCTTGATGACCTCATAAGGACATGGAGACCCAATGGGGAAGCCATAAGGACACAACAGGGACACTGGAGACCCACAGGGACACCAGGGGCCACTTGGGGACCCCACGGGGTCACCATGGGGACACTGGAGACCCAACACGGACATCATAAGGACACGGGACATTGAACAGAGACCCACATGGACACCGTCAGGCTGTCTTGGACCCCATGGGGACACCGTGGGGACATTGGAGACCCAACAAGGACACCATAAGGACATGGGACATTGAACGGAGACCCACACAGACACCATCAGGGACCCCATGGGGACACACAAAAGACCTCGGGGACCCCTTGGGAACGGCCTACAGACCCCGGGGGGACCCCACAGGGTCAGCACAAGGCCGTCAAGCGGTCGACCCAAGGGGGGACACAGGGAAAAGACCCCATAAGGAGCTCGGGAAGCCCCAGGGGACGCCGGGGACGCACCGGAGCGCAGGTTGGTCATGGTGGAGGGCAGCTGGAGGTGAGCGGGGCTGTGCGTGGTGACGCCGATCTCGATGGAGCCGGCCCACTTGTCCACCATCTTGTCGATGCGCACCTGGAACAACTCGTTGTCCCGCAGCGCCCGCGCGCTCAGCACCACGCCGTGGTTGAAGTCGTCCGTGGCGCTGCGGGGGGACAAGGCGTGGGGACGCCATGGGGACGTGGGAACGGGGGCGACGAGGGGATGGTGGGGGGACGACGCTGGGAGGGGGTGGGGGGTCAAGGGGACATCAGGAGGACATGGGGACATCATGGGGACACCATTGGGAAGCCATTGGAAGTGGGGAGAGGGGCAGTGGGACACCATGGGGAAACCATTGGGAAGCAGTTGGCATGGGGGGATGAGGACAATGGGACATCAGGGGGACATGGGGACACCATGGGGACGCCATTGGGAAGCCATTGGAACTGGGGAGGGGGGCAATGGGACATCAGGGGGACATGGGGACATCATGGGGACACC